CTTAGTCCTTCTCAAAGTCAACTAAAAGTGCTTTTGCTACCACCTAGAAATTAAGGGAAGCAGTACTACAACAAACACCAGTCAAATTAGTTTTAAATCATTGTTAGCCCTGAACAATTACTTAAGCAGAAAGACTTGGGTTCCCACCAACTTTGTCCCTGAATGCTGCGCACCTCATTTTGAAACATGGAATTGGAATAAATGTTGGTAAATGTCATTCAAATGAATAAAAGTCACTGATGTAATAAAATGATGCTTACCCAGGTTAGACCATCATTTTTTACCCTCATTCTTTCCATTTCAATCAGTTTTAGTAAAAGATCTTACAGGTAAAAGTTAGGAAAATATAGTACAAATAATAAGTTATTATAATACTTATATTCACATTATGTTAAAATGCCTTATTATATCATATCACCTGATGATTAGTCAATTATTCTAATAATACTAGGAGAAAGGTTTAAGACTTCATCTAAACACAAATCATATTAGGTAACCAAATATTCACTCAACTTAATTTGATGCTCTTCATCTGCACAGTGCTGTAAATAGTAAGTAATAAAGACACATCATTAATAGGGCAGTTACTATGAGCCTTAGAAAGTCATCTCTACCAACTGTTACCTGCTAACCTATTTCTGCTATAAATAAGGATGCCGATGTATGTTAGTTAAATGACTGAAAATTAAGCCTGGATATATGAAAACTGTACCCTCTTTTCAATTTGGCTGTAAGCCTTAAACTCTTTAAAAATAAAGTCTTAATTAAAATATGGAGCTTGGATTGTTAATAAACAACTACCTTACTACTGTAGTTAAGTTTTAATTTTAATTTGGCCACTCAAGTCAATGCCGAAAAGGACAAAACTGTCTTTTCAAACCACTCAAATCGAAAGGTTGTCTGACTTCTTCCTGACAGTGACATTTATGTCACCGCATGGTGCCAGTCACCTTCCTGACCAAAGCCCGACAGTTTCAACTACCTGTTCTCTACGTGGTTTGTAAAGTCAGATGATCTATATCTGTACCATTTCTTTTACTTTTGGAAAACACAGTTCCCTTTCTGATAGAGTTGGATGATCAGATAAGAGCTTCCTAAAGGATAAAATTCACATAATTTGGTAGAAATATATTGGATGAATTAGTTCTATACTGTCTAAAATTTCAATTGACCCAATATGTATGTCCCTGACACCAGTTCTGGGAGGTGGATGCATCATATTTTTGCCACTTTATATTTGATTTACTCTTCCTGGGAAAGGCAGAAAGTGAGAAATGTCAGAAAGAACAAATGAACTAAATTGGCTTTATCGTTGAGTAAATGGTGTTTTATTTTTATTTGGCATAAAATTGGTCTAATGTCTTTATTTTCCTAAAATGGAAGCCCTAAAAAATATGCTTACTATTTTCAGAACAATAATGCAGATGAAACTACTCATTGTAACAACAATGCAGAAGTAAAAGTAGGTTAGTAGATATAATTAAATACTATTTTCAAATGCTTTGGTAAGTACAGTTAAGACAGAGAGAATCATCTAAGTTATTCTCTCTAATATATGGAATAAGAAAAAGTTATTACATGTCTGTGACAGTTATGTTTTTGGAATGGCAAATCTAATGTCTTCAGATGAGGATCCAAAATTCTAAGGTTTATAGACATCTGTTCTCAAAGCATGAAAGGCTAATAACTTACAGGAAAAAAGTCAAATCAAAGTTAAACTAGGGGAAGAAAAAGAAGTAGGTAACACTGTTTCTACTATAATGTCTCTTAATTCTAAGGTAAAAATTATTTGATTCTAATGTAATAAATTTTGTGTTTGAAAGTATAGAATATACTAAATAAGATAAATTAGCAGATATCTAAGAATTTCTGTACTATAAATATATACATAAGTAATAAATTTGAGTTTACATTAAAAAAATTATGACTTTCACAACTCAAAGTAGTATTATTTTTATTAAGGGAAAATAATGAGTCAATATGTAAATCCAACATCATCACAGATATGTATATAAAGAGGTGAATATACTACAGCATAATTATAAGAACAACTACCATTTTTAGACCTTGACTATGGACTTAGCATAGTGCAAAGTGCTTTATTTATCTTGTCAATAGCCCTGTGGAGTGGATGGTCATTTTGCACAGGAGAAAACTGAATCTTAGCTAATTTAGTAGTGAAACCAATAGTAAATGCTAGGGCAAGAATTTTAACTCAGTTCTTTTGACTCAAAAGGCCATGTTCTTCACTGTTACATGTATTGTCTAAAGTCCCAAGTGACCTAATAGGTGCCACAGTGATTAAACATAGAGACAACTTGTCAAGCATGTTCAAAAATTATGACCGTGTCCTTAAAAAGATGAATAACATAAAATACTATATTGGATGACAGAACTTTTTGGACTTTAGTTTTGAACTACCAGACTGATACTGTAGTCAAATTGGTATAGTTGTTTTATTTAGTGATAATGCTCTACATTTATTTGGTATATCATGCCA